GGCTGGATGTGATCCTGTGCAGTGTGCTTTAGGTGACCCTGCTTGAGCAGGGGTTTTGGACTAGATGATCTCCAGAGGTGCCTTCCAGCTTCAACCGTTCTGTGATTCTGTGATTATTTACTCATTTCATTTTGGAGAAAATCAATGTCACCTGAAAAGACTATCGGGATATACCTCCAAAAGAGCCTCATATTCATAGATAAGCTTTTTTTTCTGGGAACAGGAAGAGAGAGGTGGTTTTATTTGGTTTGAACTTGGGTCACTTGCAGATGCTGTACATCGTACATTGACCTCTGAATCATTATTTAAAATGTGACAACTATTTCTGCATTCATTAAGAGACAGTCTAGAGCGGGCATCCTGTTTCTGCAGCATTTGTAGTTACAAATCTGTAATGGGCTGATGTTACAGACTGTAAATAGCAGTGGGCTGCAGTGGTGGTCATGTGGAGGTCATGAACTGCCAAGTGGCATTCGAAAGCAGCTGAAGCTTGCCCTGAGGCACATGAAAACAACAGCGGAAAGAAACCCTTGTATGCAAAAACTGAACCAACACACACCAAAACTTTATCCAAGCAGAAAGGCACACCATGCCCTCGCCCAAACAGAGTTCAGAAAAGCACTAGCAGCCCCTAGGGGCTGGAGACACACTCTTTGCTGAGGGACACTGTGCCAAATGGGAGATGCTTACATGCCTGAAGGGACTGTGGCGTGGTGCCAACCCACCCTGACTCAGGGACATCCCTGAAGGACTGCAATGCATGGGCCACCGGCTCTGGAGCAGGACATGGCAGCAAAAACCATTCAGCGTAGAGCAGCAGACACTGTCCCACGTACCACCTCTGCTTCCTACACCACCTGTCACCACAGAGCAGGAATTTTGTTGGAATGAGTATAGCACAACTGCAAAACCAAGGAAAATTGACACTAGGAAGCGGAGGACAGATGTTTGTGCAAGTGTTTGTCTACGCGTTTTCTTCTTTCTTCTTAGTACCAGTATGAAATGGGAGCTGACAGCACTGACCTCTTTCTTAACTATTTAGTGATACTTATTGACAAAAGCACAACACCTTTCTGTTTGATAGACAGCAACCTGCAAGAGTAAGCTGTCATTATGGGAAAAAAGTCCATTGCTTTTGTTAGCCTTCTTTATATTTAGCAAAATGTCTCCACCAAGGACCAGCAGACTATATTAAAAATGAAAATCCATTGACCTTTTGGGCCTGTACATGCTAAACTGCCAATAAATACTCCATTAATCTCTCATTTCAGGAAATATTCCTCTCAGGTAGGATGTGGCAAATCTGAGAGCCGAGCACTGGGAAAACAGTGCATCTTTTATTGAATTCTTGCCTCACCAAACTGTTGCAGGGTGTTCGCAAAAGCATAGGCCTCCCATGGCATTGTTTCCTCACTAATTTGGGTCTCCTGAAAGAAATCCCAAGCTTTTCCTTTTAAATTTTAGGAGCGTCTCCTGCTTTCTTTGCTGCCTGCTCACATTGCCATGGAAATGAAAGCCGAGATCATTCAGCGGTTACAAGGTCCCAAGGCAGGCCAACTGGAAAATACCAACAACTTCCACAATTTGTATGTCAAAAGGCACACCAATGTAAGGTATTGTACGGTAATAAAATTTACTAGCAACATGAAGAAGAAGTGTGAAAAGAAAGCAAGAAGAAAGTAATTGTTTTGATAGGTTTATCAATTATTTAATGTTCAGTATCCAAAATAGGTTAATTTGCTGTAATGCTGATAATTCCTTGTTACAGAGGAGCAACAAAGGTGATAATACAAAGGTGGTTATTTAGAAAAAGCCACCCATAAACAGGCTTTCTTCATAATGTCTTCTGTTTTGAAGTTAAAGAAGTGCCAAATCCTGTTTTCATTTATACTGGTCTGAACTGTAAGGTTTGTCAGTTATTTAATTTTGAATCTGTAGTTTTCATAACTAGAGTTGTTTGACAGGTTTTAAATAAAGTAAGCAAGACTGGCTTTATCACGGCTGTACTTAACACAGTACCTGAAGATAAAATATCCTACTGAAAAAAAAATTATTTAATTATAAATTTCTAGAAATTCTGAAAAATGTCTTCATCTTTGACTGCAGGTTTTGAAGACAGCAAATAGCAACACACTGAACTGGGTGAAAACCCTACTATTTACGTCAAATATTCTTTCGTCTTTTCAATTTGTTTTGCCTAGTTTTCCACTTGGAAAACGTCATTTGGACGACATTCGCAGAAATGACGTTTTTAAAGCATGTATTCCAGGACTGTTTAGAAAGTTAATTTCCCCTTATGAGCACAAATACTTGTTCCTTGGCCTAATTCTATGAATTAGTCTCTTCTACTTGGTGACTGGAAACGTAGCATATGGTTTGAATATCTTCTCAGGCAAGCTTGAATTTAATAGTCGGAGTAACAAGTGGACACAGACTTTGTTCCTTTCATATGTAAACGCAGACTGAAACGTCTGATAACGTTGAGAAAATATTATTAAATAATTTCTAATAACAAGTATGTTTACTGAACTAATTTCCGTTATTATTTTGCCCATTTGGGAGTAAGAAAATGTTTATATTTTCTGAATAGAACAAATAGAGACACAGAATGTATACCTTCTCTACTGAGTCAGATCAGCGGGTCCTTGATTTACTGCTCTACACGTAGCGGTGATGATTGTTTTTATTAGGGACGTGATAGTGCCAAGTACTGAATACCTGCTTTCAGATTTTGCTGTTGATAAATAAAACCCGATTCTGAGGAAGGAAAGCGTAACCCAGGCTCTATCCGTTTCTGCTGCAGCATCTTGTACGCTGATATTGTGGGATTCACTCGCCTGGCCAGCGACTGCTCACCCGGGGAGCTGGTGCACATGCTGAATGAGCTGTTTGGCAAGTTTGATCAGATTGCAAAGGTGAGTTTCTGCTGGGCTGCTACTGTTAATTATCTAAGTCATCTTTAATATATTCTTTCTTCTTGGGGACTCGACTTCCTGCAGGCAGCGTGTTTTAGGCTCTGGGCAGAAGGGTTAGAAATGAATCGTGTGAAGACTTTCATTTATACCAGTCTAAATTGTAACGTGGGTCACTTAAATTATTCTGAATTTGTAATTTTCTTGTTAGTAGTAGTAAAGAAATTTGGCTCTGGTCTGAAAGTAACATTGTGCTTCTATCAGTCAGGCAGTCTGCACAGGATTCAGGGTTAATGTCCTTAAAAACATCACATGTAGAGAGCGCGCTCTAACAGGAGCAATGCAGAGAGCTTATGGAGCACTGTGAAGCTTTTGAAGGTGGACAGCCCTCTCAACAGATTGATTTACAATAACAAAGATTAGGAAATGCAAGATACAAAGATGTTACAATCAATTTTCTCATCTCTGGAAAATAATTTAAGAGTTTGGAGGAAAAAGGAGCCAAATTAATCAAAGTAGTTTTAAGAAGGTGTGACCACAGCCTCTACATTATTCCAGAAAAGATTGAAACATGATCAAAATATTTTCTTTTGTTTATTATTTAGGGGTCATTTTTCTAAGCATTAGAACAAACTACATTCAGCGTGTGAAATTGCGAAGGGTCTCACTAAAAAAGAAAACAATTTTCTGTGTTTTTCTATTAATTAAAATAAATGTTCATGACTGGTAAAAAAAATCTTTTTATTGCCTTAGAGAGTACAAAAGATAGAAATAAGATTATGTTTACTAGTTTCAGGAATTATTTCATAGTATTTCTTCAAAGCTTTAAGTATGGAAGGCAAGCTCTTTTGATTTCAGGTTTCAGACAGAAAGACTTTATTTAGATAGAATACATGATATTTAACTCCAATTCTTTAATCTAAGGAATAAGCTACTTTAGAGAGAGAGAGAGAGAGATATGTATATATATTACTTATACTTATTTTCTAATTTCACCCATTAAGGACCATAACGGAGGGAGGAATTATCCATACAGAACTTCTGATAGCTCTTCTTTTTTAGCCAGCCAAATCCTTGTCCATCTAAACAAGCTTGCCTACAATGATTTTAATAGTATCGCTTAAGTCAGCCCTTGTAGCAGTAGCCCTGTCATTTATGTAATTTGAGTTGAAAGTGATGATCTGACTTTGCTTTTTCCTCCAGGAAAATGAATGTATGAGAATTAAAATTCTAGGTGACTGCTATTACTGCGTGTCTGGACTCCCTATATCTCTTCAAAATCATGCCAAGAATTGTGTGAAAATGGGACTGGACATGTGTGAAGCCATTAAGTAAGCGCTGAGGTTTTGTTTAATGAACAGTATCCAACAGTAAAAATATTGTCTGTTTTCTATATGTAGCAGTGCTTGTGGATGGAGCATTCAGAGCTGCAGTAGTTTTTGTGTCTCAGTCCAAGGTCTAACATGATAATCTTGATCTCAGCCACAGCAAAGAAATGTTTTAAAGGTGTTAGGTTCTGCCAGGCTGTCCTGCCCCTGCTGTATAGAGCCGTATTCGAATTATAACCTCATATTTTATTGTTTTGAAAGAATATTTCAATAAAAATGGTAATGAAGGAGGTAGCAAATGGAGTAATGGGTTGTGACAAACATGAAGAAATGACGTAGGACACGACCAATTTTCATGCGTGTTTTGTTCTAATAACAAGGCGGCTGCTGTATGCCTAATTGAACGTAGTGCTGATGATTACAATGATAGCAGAAAACATCCACCAGCTTTTTCAGGACAGATCTGAAACAAAATGCTCCTAGGGCTATTGTCAAACTAAGGGGCACTTTGATAGGCGTGTTACAAGTGCTTTGGGATGCTCCCCTATTTTAACCCACCCATAAAGGACAATGAAAAGTGGGCATATAGAGCTTTACATCAACAAGACAGTGAAAAGAATTTGGTGCACTAATTTGTAAAGTAGTTGGGTGGGGGAAGATCTTCCTCTTTTTTTTCCCCTCCTAATAGTAAAACACAGTTGTTGAGTCAAATTCTGAATGGTAAAGCCAAGCTGCAGGTGACTTCTACTAGGGTTTAGATGATTTCTGTGATATTAGCGAGTTTAGAATTAAGTTCCTTTTTGAAGAGAGGATGACCAGTATGTGTTGTGTCGGTCAGCTTTCTGTGGTGGGATGCAACATTGCATTTTTTTTTCCTCTACTTATGAGATGGTGAATCTCCCAGTCAGCATCATCCTGGACTTGGGAAGCACTGCTTTTTGTGGAGGCATGATGCTGCCAGTCACCTGTTAGTCAAATGACTCTATGGTAGACCAGAGCTCCTGGCTCCTGCTGAGTTTGGACCTCACTGGAAGTCAGGACCAGTTGCCTCCAGAAAACAAACTCTCTCTCAAGATACCTCCAGTCCTGACCCTGCAGTGTGTTACTGAGCATGTGCACTGAAGATATCCTGAATGAGTTGCTGATCCCTGGGCTGAGAGGGCCTGTCATTAAACAAGAAATAAAATGTGCACATCTCACTAGACCTCAAGTTTAGGTTTAGTTTCTACTTTTTTGTAATTGGCTAGGACTTTCTAAAAAGTTTTGTCAGTTATTGTGTTCAGGTGCCATTGAAAATTCTATACTTAATCAAGAGTTTTTTTGGATTTGTGGGTTAATTTACTTGTCCCTTTTTTCTTTCCCATCATGATTGTGCTTGTTCCATCTTTGAAACAGAAAGCAGAATGAGCTATTTGAGAATCCTAACGTGATTGCTTTTGAAATAGTAATGCGGTCTTATTTCAAGCAACTCGGGTAATAACAGGAGACTGGTATGATTGTGAAAGAGGAAAAGAAAAAGGATTATAGCTGATGGCTGAACACTGTTTTGCATCTATCTGGAGATACAGTCTAAGATGGACTTGAGGGTTGCTCTGACTTATTCCTGAAGAGTAGATGGGGAGCGGGTGGAGGTGATTCCAGTCTTTCAGATACAACTCGATAGGATTATAGGCAACTGTAGCAGTTCTGCAGACTGTGGAACTTCAAAGGTGTCTTGCAAAAGGGCTGTTTTCCTCCCCCTCATCTCTCTTCACCCGACTGCTATCTCCACGGCTCAGTGCATCTTGGAAATAAATTTTCTGTAAGGTAGTTGCCTACTGACGAGTTCTACCACCACCAAAACTGGACACACTTCAGTAGGAAGGTACTTAAAGCTAAACATGCCTCTCCAGAAGCTTCAGCTCAGTATATTGCACCTTATTTGTTAAGCGAGGATCTGATTCTGCTACCTTATTTAGAAAACATCTTGGGAGGAGGGGACGAAAGAATCCCCTTCACCCTTTTTTTTTCTGGAAGTCATATACTTCCATCTGTATAATTCATATCTGAAGTTCTTTTTAGGTTTTAGCTGTCAGCATAGAGTAAATGGTGGCTTATAGTAATTATTATTAATGTCACAAATATCTCTCCAGTAGGAAACTTAAGATTCCTTTGGCTAAAATCACAAGATTTCTAGGTGAGCTACACTGTGCAAAAAAAGCTATATCAGTGGTCTGGATATTTGTTAGCGTCTGTGTGACTTGTTTTGTGGAACGATTGGACTTTGCTTTGAAAACTGAAAATGCTCTTCCATAAGTTTCCTGTTGTGCCAGCTGTGATGTTTTCACCTATCACGTTCACAGCTGTCCCAGTGGTGAAGTAAGCAGTTACCTCGGTCTTGTGAGCTCTGCCTGCGGTTTGCGCCTCTTCAGGAAATGCAGTTATGTTGACTAACGTTGTCTAAGCTTGACGTTTATTTAAAATAATAAAATTATTCTTCCGTTTAGGAAGAATAATTCCTCTAATGCTTAAATACTACCAGCATATATGTGTAATCGTAGTTGGAAGAGGAAGGTTGTTTTTTGTTTAGTTGTCTGGTCTTGTGATCAGAGGGATTCCAGAGGAATTACCATATGGTCAGGCTGAGAAATGGAAATTCGTTTCTCTTCCACTTCAGGCATTCCCTGAAAAGACGTAATATTTGTGGGAACTAGGATTTAGATCTCCTTGCTTTACAGATGTTTTGTAAAACTAACCTCAGCCCTGGAAAGAAATGAGATTGCTGCATTTTCTTAAAGGTTTTTCCTTTATCCAAATACATTTTTACCCTACATCATGGCCAAAGAAACCTATTTTTTGATGGTACATTGAGTACTTCTTGTCAAGCATTAAATCTACAGCCTTGCTTGTTTCCTTGGGCGCTTTCATTGGATAATTTTCCTTTTTATTTAGATATAAAAGATCAGCATCATTATAGTTAGAGCAATTACTCTCTCTAACATACTAGGAATTAAAGCTAACATCCTTTCCGTAGAAAAGTAAGTGTAAAAGCATCTGTCCCTAGGCTCTGACTCCCCCATCTTTTTTACCGTGACTTAGAATTTTTCTTCCAACATTTCAGTGAAAATAAAAGCTTTCTGGCTTTCATTTTAATAGCTTCAGGTGCTGTGTGATAGACGTGAGCTAACAGGATTTGCGTAGAGTCTCTGGACACCCTGTTGCTTTTTTTAGTTAGAAGAAAAAAGTAGAGAAGGCTGCAAGCCGTTAGAAAAACAATGCAAAGCCTAAACCATAAATTGTCCTTCTCAGAGATTGAAATGCATGATTTTATGGATCATGATGTGATGCTTTACTTTAGCTCAGAGAGAGCAATGTATTGGTTCCTCATATTTCATAGCTTCTCAGTTTTATCTGAGATAGCTTTCCACGCAGGCTGCTATCAAGCATCAGTTGTTCATGCTGGGTGATAAGGTTCTCCTTGGTAAGAGCAGGTTTATAGTCTAGAAAAATACCTTTCAGTGGTACAGCACATTCTAATCTGAATGCCTCCAGACTCTGTTCCTGTATCATCGGCATTCACAAAGTCCCTGTAGACACATGCCGTGATTATCCATCTCCATGAGAAACGAGGAGTCTGCACTGCATCTTTTGAAATGCTTTCAAAGTATTATGTCAAGTGTTCCAGCCCACAGGTGAACAAAATTACTGATTCTTAATCAAGCCTGTATTTTGTTGTGTGGTTGCTGCATCTTTGTGTGGAAGAATCTGCTGAAACACTTCTGTGGCCTCCAAAACTAAAAGTAGTAGCACTCTTGCTACTGGAAGTTTGTCACTTAACATATGTTGGACTTACCTGTCTAAAATACCTCTTTTTTCAGGCTAGAATGTTTCTTATATTCAGTCGTTGAGGTCCAAACTCACTTCTTATTGCCTAAGTTACTGAAACACAGCATTTTGCTGTTTAGATGATCAGTTCTGTATATATTTTGTTATTAGCCAAAAATAATTTCGGTTCCAGTTCTCTTTGCGGTAAAAGAGGAGTTATACCAAATTGCCAAGTGATCTGTAGTACAAAGATTTATTCAGTCTTGTTTCCTGAGCATGCGTAGCTCCCTTTTGAGCACTTCAGCCTCACTAGGCTAGGGATTATTTCCATTTAAACATGTGAATAGTCCCATTGATTGCCTTAGTTGCTTTACTTCTCTGCTCCGTGTCGGAATAAATACAGTCAATGTTTCTGGCAGCCTACAGCCTGTGTGCCCCGGAGCAGTGTGCTCACCTTACCCGGCCATAGGTGCCAGTGCTGCCTGTGGTCTTGGCAGCTGGCACATCTTGACTGGGTGCTTCAAGGGTAAAGCTCATCTGTCAGAGGAAAATATGTTTCCATATGAAGGCATGGGCTGTTTGCCTTCAGCCCCCACCCCCCATCCCCTTGTCTGCCTGGCAGCTTTCTCTTTTAAACATTTCTCAGCTTGCACTTCTCAAAAGCTGTCTTTGATTTGGGACCAGGAACCGAGTTCCATCTCAGAGGACTCAAAGTGAAAGAAACTATTGGATAAGATTGTTGTGCCAAATTGAGGGTTAAGTATAAAATAACACAAAATTTTCTTCATTCCTGCAATCCAAAAAGGGAACTATATTTTTAAAGCTGGTAGTTTGCAGGGAACTAAGTGCTCAAGGCACTTCCCCTCTACTCAGTCCTCTCCTTCACCTCCACTTAGCCCTGGTGAGGCTACACCTGGAGTGCTGTGTCCAGTTCTGGGCTCCCCAGTACAAGATACAGACGTACTGGAGTGAGTCCAGCAAAGGACCGCACATGATGAAGGGATGGGAGCATCTTTCCTACGAGGAAAGGCTGAGAGAGCTGGGCCTGTTCAGCTGGGAAAAGAGAAGGCTCAGGGGGGATCTGACCAATGTGTACAAGTATCTGAAGGGAGGGTGTCAAGAAGTTGGGGCCAGACTCGTCTCAGTAGTGCGCAGTGACAGGACGAGGGGCAACGGGCACAAACTGAAACACGGGCAGGTCTATCTGAACATAAGAAAACGCTTCGCTCTGAGAGTAGTTGAACACTGGTTGCCCAGAGAGGTTGTGAAGTCTCCTTCGCTGGAGATATTCAAAATCTGCCTGGATGTGATCCTGTGCAATGTGCCTTAGGTGACCCTGATTGAGCAGGGCGTTGGACCAGGTGATCTCTGGAGATTTCTTCCAACCTCAACCATTCCGTGATTCTGTGAAGGTTCACTGAAATGGGTTAAAGTGTGTTAGGCAGGAATAGGTGGGTCTTAGGTACATTAGTCCAGAACTACTAATGAGAAAACCCCAATAAACAGATCAGATGCTTTCCTTCAACCCTTGTTTGTGCAAGAGTCAAGCTGCTACAAGGTAACCATGTTTGTGAAGAGTGCAGAATCCTTACAGATTCAGATTTCAGGATCAATAGAAAAACTGTGGTTTTCATTAATATTTTGGCTGCCTAACCAGGATGGATGCACTGACTGTGGTCTGCTGGGGGAGACTAGAGAGACTTTGGGAGCAGGAAATGAAATGATAATGGGAAGCTTCAGATATACTTGTGTAGGTAAGGCAAATGTCCTATTAAGATATGATAGACTACATTCAGTGCCTGCATCATTGAGCAATTAGTCAGAGAACCCACGAGAGAAGTAATAGTACCCCCTAATTTGGTCCACAGTAGTGCAATGTCTAATTTAAAGCCTCAGGTGATTTCTTTAAGTGGTGAGGCACAGGAGAAGTTCTGGAGCACATCCTGCTCGCTCCTCGCCTTAACCTCAGAGGACCTGTTGTACAGCAGGCTCCATGGCTTGCTCTGCAGGACATGGCAGGGCAGCCTTTGCAAAAGCACTCCTAGAGGATAAATGTTCTCTTGCTCTTTGCAGTGTTTTGTAAAACACTCTTTATTCAGGGTGCTCAGCTTGTATTTCATTGTATTCCTTATGCAGAACAAAAAAGGTGTTTGTCATTTGGTGGCTGCCTACAAAGGTCATTTACAAGCGCTTCACTTGCAGGTGTGTCAGCTATGGGACAGCGGTGCAAAACGGCAAAGTGAGACGAGATGTCAATAAACGCTTGATAGAGACTGAGGGAATTAAAAAGCTTCCCCTCTCCTCTCTTTTTAATATAACAGAATTTAACAGAATACTTGCAGTCATGTTCCTGTTGTCTTCATTTTCCAGCAAAAAGAGCACTTAAGAAATTTTGCTTAATGGTAGGATTTGCCATATCAGATTAAACCTGTTAAATTCAACGGCTCCTTTTAAAAAAGAAGAGAAATAGGCCAGTTTAATCCTGTAGTTCAGAAGGCACAGAGCTGATGAGTCTCATCAGACTGAAGATATTGCTGAGACTGAAGATACTGCTAGACCCACGTACCTGACCCATACATAGGAGCCATTTGAGGTTCTCATTCTGCAGTTGTTCCTTCTACCAGTACCCTGAATTCTGCCAAGATGAGTGTCTTCATGTTCCTTCTTACTGGATAGGATTTGGTCCAAATGAATTGGGATTTAAGTACATAAGTCCAGCTGAGACACAGGCAGCAATACAGTCTTCCTGTTTCTTAGAACTGTCTAAGGCCGTAGACCTCTGAATTAATTAGATAATTCTCTGCTTATATAGTTAAGTACCCAGATGACACATCTGAGCACGTTCTGATTGTTTGGCTTCAGTTACCCACGTGTGACTCAAAAGTGCCTCTTCTGGAGAGAGTAATACCTGTGTTACGTGTAGGGCTCTGCCGAACTCTGGTTGGGGTTAACAGACACCTCAGCTCTGTCAAAAGTCACTGGAAGGTTCAAAACTTCAGATGTGGTCTGGACAGTGTCTCGCCTTTTGCAAAATAATCTAGTGGGCAGAGCGCTCACCTGGGACGTGGAAGGCTGTGGTTTCTATGATTTACACACCCTGAGTGGGACTGACCCCATCTCCTCGAAAAGTGTTTGAGCCACCAGACTGTAGGAAATCCTGAGGTTTTCATCCTACCTCTTGAAGCAGAACCATTTGCAAGGGGGCATGCAAGAGTGGTGAGAGAGAAAAGCCTGTCTCCACCCTAGAGATTAGGGTCTTCAGATAGAAGGGAGCATAACAGCTCCCTGAAATAGGTCAAACTGTTGCTACATTAAAAAGCAAAACTAAAAGCTACCTTTAGAACAAAAAAACTCTCTAAGTTTAGTCTAACTCTAAAGTTCTACCATAAGACTGAACTTTTCTCCTACGTAATTCAGTCTTCCCAGATGATTTCCTATGAGTATAAAAAAAGAGAGTTCAGCCATGGACTTGCAAATTAGTGTTTGCTGCACACGGTTGCAAATATAGATAATAAAAAGGTAATATATAAAAAATACTCCTGACATGAAAAGAACGGAGCTAACTGATGCTAAAAAGAAATAAATGGTATCCCCTTTGCTACTGTTAATTTGACTCTCTGGTAAGTTAAAGGAATATAAAGGCCCTACTGCGCATGCTAACCCAAGTTTTCTGCTCAACTACAGGAAAGTGAGAGATGCCACTGGAGTTGATATTAATATGCGCGTGGGAGTGCACTCTGGGAATGTCCTCTGTGGTGTTATTGGGCTACAGAAGTGGCAGTATGACGTATGGTCACATGATGTTACATTGGCAAATCACATGGAAGCTGGAGGAGTCCCAGGGTAGGAGATTTTTTTCTTAACCTTTGTATTCATAGATTTGGGTATTATAGAAAAATGTACAGGTAGCATGTCTTCAGTCATCAACCTTCTTGAAGAAAACTGAACTAATTCTTGTGTTGTTTTTTTAAAAAATTGGGCACTCAGTATTTACCATAATTTTGAGGAGTAATTTTGTGAATGAAAACCTTTAGATTTGTACCCATTAGAACTTCTGAAAATGAGATTAGAGAGTCTGTAACTGAAGTAAGCAGTGTAAGAGTTAGTAAAAAAGGCCTATTGGGTTCAAATGATGCTTTTGATCAGTATTTGTAATTTTATCATTCTTTTAAAACGTAATTTCAGCCGTGTTCACATCACTTCAGTCACCTTGGCACATCTGAACGGAGCATACAAAGTGGAAGATGGGGATGGAGACGTGAGGGACCCATATCTGAAAGAGCATAATGTTAAGACTTACTTTGTAATCAATCCTAAGGTTAGTAGTACTTGCATTTTGTGGCCATAGTTGTTTTTGAGCAGGACCACTAACCTCTTTAGTGAATAATTCATTGCCATAACATATTGGTTGAGTGAGAAGAGCTATCACAGATGCCTACAAATATGTAGTGGCTGCAGCGATACAACATTTTTTCTGATCTTCAGAAACAAGTCTCTGAAAATGTGGTACATATATGATTTGGGACGGTGCCTTACTGCTTGAGAACGTAGTGAAGACTAAAGTTGATATCACTTCTTATTCTCTGTCAAACAGGGGGAAAAGCGAAGTCCTCAGCACCACATCAGACCTCGACACACTCTTGATGGAGCCAAAATGAGAGCGTCCGTCCGCATGACCCGGTACCTGGAATCCTGGGGAGCAGCCAAGCCATTTGCACACTTGCACCACAGGGACAGCATGACCACTGAAAACGGCAAGATTAGCACAACAGTAGGGGCCTACTTATGTCATTTCATACAGTTTAGCAATGTTTGAAAGGAAGAAGATGCTCACTGCTAAATATCTGGTTGTTGCTGATAGATGAGGGTGTAATGCATTTGCACTGGGGCAAAAACCCAGTGAAGCTGCTGGGAGCTTTTCCACTAGCTTATGAGCTGTGGATTAGACTCTGTGGAGCTGCATCTTACTATGAGTGCATCTCTGAATCATAAGGAGTCCTAAGTAAATGCTAAAAGGAAAGATTTGGCCCTCTAAGCTTGTGATTCAGAGTCCCAGCATTTGGTGTGGCTGCTGTGCACTGTGTGGAAACACGTTTTGAACACAAAACCAGAGTGGAACACCTTTGGGAGAAGGCGCTTTTGATAAAGAGAGATTCTCTGAGATTTAGTGGCTGGTTTAGCCATAGACTGTGGGTGGATTATGGCCACCTGGAGCAAAGGCTGTGATGGGAGAATATTGCTATGGCACCTGAAGTGAGCTTTATTTGAAGACTTCCATGCGAACCAAATGCTTAGTCACTGTAACCTCTACCACTGTAACCTCAAGATGCCCTACCCACTCATTGGCCACAGCTGACAATCTGAGTTTCGTAGTGCTATAGTGCAATATTACATCTTTTACACTAAACAGAAAGGATTTCTTTTTTTAATTTTGATAACATCGTTTTATTGCTGTCAGTAAAACACTGTCGATCCGTAGCTCACACCTTGCATTATCTTCTACTTCTAAAAAGTGTAACATCTCATTTTCAACATTAGCATTCACTTCCACTGCTGTTATATAGGAGCATGTAGGCTTGAACCACCTAACTCATCTCATCCAATAAACATAATGGATCAAAATATGGACTGTTTCGTGTTCATTACAGAAAGGATCTGGGTATCACAGTTAATCACGAAATAAGCATTGCTGTGATGGCTGCTGTTGCTCATCAAAAGAAAATAAAGGCCATTGCCTATGTTTGGTTACTCAAGTCTGGTTTTCAAAAATGCTTAACACTAGTTTTCCCCAAAGCTGGTGGGAGTTTGGGCTATATTCCAACAACAATGACTTTGAAGCGATGACGTTCTAGCAGAGAAAAGCATTTTTGGATTTGGATAGTTTTAGTGGCAATTTAGTGTTTATAATATCACTTCAATTTGTCTGCAGATCACTCCCTTTTCCATCTTCGTTGTTGCTAGATTTTTTGAAATAGAGTTTTAATGTAATGTTAAAAGTATTTGTAGTTGAAATCTTTCTCCTTAATTGATCCTGTTTTCATCACTATTTTTAAAGTGACTAAATATTGTCAAGGTCTGTTATAGCTGATGCAGGTTTTTGTTTTGTTTTTTAGGATGTTCCTATGGGGCAATATCATTTTCAGCGTTGCAGAGAGAGGTAAATTCATTTCAAAAAATTACTTATTCATCTAAAGTCTGTATGAATTTTCATACATTCATATATTATAAGAAGTGCTTTCAAATATTGACACCCAAACTATTTTTTCTGCTGATACCTCTATGTAAATAGAGAAAGTCTATGAAAAGTGATTTTTAAGATGTGTTAGTTGTAAACTGTGAATACACTTCCTCCTACTAAAGAGCATTATTCCAGATTAACATCAGGATGTTGATGGGCTACTGTTTGTTTCGCTTTATTCTTCCAGTGTCTTTTAATCTCTTTACTTTTTCAGTGTGCAAATAAACGATGTACAGGGAAACTGAGAGGGGAAGCGCAGAGGGGGAAAAAGGGAAGATGGAAAGGACTTTATTGTAGTATTTCAAAGTCTAGAGTGTATTTGCAGTAGTAAACATTCAAAAAGTACTTTGTGGTTCTCTAGCAGTTCTTCTGCTACACACATTTTTTTTCAAAATCCTGATAGCTTTAAGTTCTTATTTTCCTGCTTGTTAATTCCATCACTAGGGCAACATGGTGAGAAATGGACATGGGGAGGAACTGATCGCTTTCCTTAAAAACACCCAGAATTTCTAAGTCAAGAAAAGAATGAAGGCTGTTGAAAAACAAGCCTAGCACAATAAGAAAATCTGAAATGGTTACTTTTTATTTTAATGACCTGATAACACTTCAGATAATATCGTTCTTGCAAGAAAATAAGTAACATCACAAATACCATAAAACAGCTTGAAAGAACCCTTCAAAATTTGTACTTTTTTTTTTTCTCTTGGGTTATGCAAGCTACTTGTTCTATCTGTTCCGTGCCCGTCGCTGCTCAGTAAATGTCTCATAGACAAAACACGAGTTACTGGGGCGCTGTACATTTCCATAAAATATTGCTAGACTCTAGAAGATGATGACTGAATCTGCATGATATGAAGAAACACTTGGTGATTTTGAAACCAAGCATTTACATTTGGAGTATATTAAAAGAGCTTAATTCAGCCTTATAATAAAAGATGAAGAACATTGGCCTGTGGCATTTTCAAATAATGCAATTCTTTATGATACTCAGATGCTCTTGCTCTCTTGTTTCTAAATTCCACTCCAAAATAGATTTGAAAGGTACAAATTTTAGCAGGTATCTTGATACCATGTTGTTGTTCTTCATGTTATGGAAGGAGCTTCTGGAAACCGTTAGTAGAGTCTTCTGTCTATCCTGAGGCACGTAGCTAAGATTTTAGATATGCTAGTTAGTCATTCCCAGAGGGAAGAGCTGAAGTGATAATAAGCACTTTGAAAATCAGGTGTTTTGTTAGAATATGAAAACGTGGGTTGTGAAGCCTGACTGTAGGCTTCTGTTTGTGGCAGTCTTACCTCTTACATAGTTACATGATATTCTTATGTTGTTAGGGATCTGCCAATACGATTATATGTGATTAAATAACGTCTCCGTACGTGTCTAGCTTTTTCTCCCGGGCAGATTGTTCCGTATGTGAAAAATAGGTGGTAAACATGTGTTTACCTAAATTTTGTAGCATTGAATAAGGATCAAATCAGTTGGATTGTGTAAAGTTTCTGTAAGTACACTGACATGCTTTCTGTATAAATTTGAATCCTGCAATAGGGTATCAGGTTTTGGGAAATAATCCAAAATCTTCATGTAGAAGAAGAAGGGCTGTATTACCTTTGGCGGGCTTAACTTTGTAGATTTGGGTGACTTTGGTAAGAGTAATACCTCAGATCTGAATGTTGACTGCCAGCCAAACACTATTACTAAGTTAACACTGGATTTAAGTTTTCAAGGAGGAGAGTCATGGTCTGGAAATATTTGAAACACCAGTTTTAAGGAGAGCACAACTGCTGAAAGAACTGGTGATGTTTGCAGCCATGTGTTAAGTTGGAAAAGACAAACCCATTCTTAGGACCCTCAGCTGGATTCACGCTGGGCCCAGTGAACAGAAAAGATCCTTTTTTCATTACAGTTGTGTTATGAGTTATAAAAAGAGAAACATGACACATGTTTGAAACTAATTTAAGGCTTGGTGCTCTTATTAAAAATAATAAAATATGTCCAAGAAAGGAAGAGCTAGGAGCCTTTCTGTAGAGAATGTTTATTATGCACCAGTGCACTAGCACATTATTGCTCATCACACAACTCTGTCAAACAATTTTTAAAAATAACTACAAGAAACAGGAATATTTTAAGGATTTGAGCACATGCCACTCTCTTTCAGGAATTCATACCATTATGGATGACTTTCCTTCAACCAGAGTTTCTTGAAATCTGCATTTTTACAAAATGTTTACTTTTGCTTATTTTTAAGTGCTTCAAAATAGTTAATCCTTAGTTTTTATATATATATATATATATTTTTTTTTTGGTAGCAAAGTCTGTAGCTTATGCTGCTTTTGTTAAGAGCTTAGTATAATGAGGCTCACTGTCGCTGAAGCCTGTAGTTGCTGTTGCAGCATAAATGTTACAACGTCGTTATTATTATGCCAGCTATCACTCCCTGTCTTTTAAAGTTAATGTTTATTAATAAAGTGGTGATTTTCCAAAGTAAATTCCCCCCATTTTTCATTTCAGAACAAAATCACAGAAAAAAAGGTTTGAGGAGGAACTGAATGAGAGGATGATTCAGGCCATTGACGGAATCAATGCTCAAAAGTAGGTTTGCATCCTGGGTTGCGTGTTTCCTTCAACTTCAACATAAGTGTGTTTACTATTTCTCCCTCTCACATGCACCCGCTGGACCGAAAAAGTTGGCACTACGGCAGGCAAGGGAGGCTCTGCATGTCGTGAAGATCGGCTGCACAGAACCGTTCTCTATTTTATGGGATAAGACCATGCCTGTGAATCATGCTGTGACAAAGGTTTTGGCTCACCTTGAACTTCATGGCAAAGGAGTTTTTGGCTCCATAACTGTACACTGTACACTGCTGTAACGCGACAGAATTATCTCATCAGAGAGCAGAGAAATGAGAGGAAAAAAAAAAATAGGCATGGGGGTCAGAATGACGTGAAAATTGACGTTTCACAATTATGACAGAAACATCTCAGAACTAGAAACTTTCCCTAAACGCATAGTGTGATAACTCTCTATTTCAGCTGGCTGCTCAAGTTCTTAGAGAAGGCTGAGCTCGAAGGCACACTGAAATTGTCGGGGAAGGCAGTGTGACATGTATTGCCTCTGTGTCCTAGGAGGAGCTGGAGTCAGCATTGATGGTCTCGGTCTGTTGGTGAATAGATAAAAATCAAATACCAGTCCAAAATAAGTGTTCAAGTTTCTCATGTTTACCTGATGAAATCAGGGAATTGCCTTTTGAAAAATGTAGATAATAACTGTGATGCATTATATATTCTCCCCCTGTTTCTGCTATGCAGAATCTTGCTGAGTATTGCACCTAATTATTAAATAGTCATGTATCATATTTGGTTTTTTTGCATCTGATAATCCTGTTAGAAGGTACTTGGTTTTAGAAAAAAAGTTTTTCAGATTTTAGTTTTGGAGAAGAGTGCTGATATTTATATGTCATAAAAAAAAACCTCAGTGAAAAGAAGTAGGTTATCTGATAGGCAAGGCCTTTTAATTATGCTAGAGTTGCCTAAAACAGCTATATACATCTTTGCAGTTTTTATTTGTCTTCAGGTACACTTGCTATGATAAGTGTGCTCTAAAAACAATGGTTTGATGTCAAAGATAAGGCACCTTGTATATAGGCATAAAGTATTATTATGACCGTACTGTGCTTTCTTTTATCACAGAGAATCCCTGTCTTACCTTCTTAGTGCATAACATTTGGAGAAGATAGATAGAAGATAAAAGAGATTTCTGGGATAAAAGAGATTGCTGCAACAGCTTCTATGCATTTTTGTGAATTATGCGGGGGACAGCAGAAAGATAAGGAATGAACTCCTATATCAGAGAGGCTGAATGCTACCTTCCAAAACTAGATTCTCTGTCTATCTCTGTCCTGATTTACTGAATGAGTCACTTAAACCAGGTTATTCAATTGGGTACCTGGGAACAAATTTGCCGAAGTGCTGATTCCCCAAACAGCAATTAATCCAATAATATTTTAACGACATGAATGCTAAATTCCCCCTAAAAGTAGGTAGAAGATGTCCTAAAGATATCCTAAATTTGGGACACAAAACTAATTTTTTTTAATATATAATTGTACCTTTTTTTTCCTGTACCTCAGTTTTTCAGCTTTAAAATGAAGATAATAGTATCAGCTAATCTAATGGAGTGGTTGTGAAGCTAAATCTGTTACTTTTTGTGAATCAGGAACCAAACTTTCAAGAAAACCTGTGAAGAAACTAGTATTTTTACTTGTATGTATTTATTTATATTATTCTTTTCCCAGTACCTTGACTGTGGTATTCCTGGTAGTAATGTGCCTGTCCTCTGCAGGAGCAGGTTGAGTAGCCCTGGCCATGCCACTCTGTACCTTGGTGATTAGGAGGCTTTTGTAGGAAGCGTGATGGACGGACTGGAATCTGCCAACTTAATATATACCCAGAGACAGGGTTAAACTAAGGTTATCTGCTATCTGCTAAGTCAGTTACTATGTTAGAGACACGCTCTCTCTTTCCTTTCATATTTTTTATCTAAGTCACTGCAGCTGCTGTGGTCTGTGCTAAATTCCATGCTGGATGTTGTCCATCAGACAAAGCTTATCTAGCCAAGGGCTCCGTGAATACAGGCAGAATTTAATTGCTGGTCTGTGTTGTTCCCTGAACTGCAGAAGAAATTAAGAAGTTAAGCACAAATTTGGTATTTAGCTTCCCAGATGGCATATTCCTACATCCTTGTGGATAATTCAGTAACTTTTAGGCTAAGCAGGGAGTTGAGCAGTAATTGCAGATTTTTCTGTCCTTATCTCCGTGCCAAAGGTATGTGTCTTTGTGCCCCTTCTTCTGTACTTATTGTCCACTTCCATTTGTCTGCATTATATTCTTCCCTCATGTCAGACATATGAGCACCTATTTAATGCTTCTATTTGCTCTCACTGCTTTCCCTGTCTTCTGGCTATTCCTTCACAGAATCACAGAATCACAGAATCGTTTAGGTTGGAAGGGACCTCTGGAGATCATCTAGTCCAACCTCCCTGCTCAAGCAGGGTCCTCTAGAGCAGATTGCCCAGGATCACATGCAGACGGGTTTTGAATATCTCCAGCGAAGGAGACTCCACAGCCTCTCTGGGCCACCTGTTCCAGTGCTCTGTCACCCTCTCAGTGAAGAAGTTTTTCCTCAGGTTTAGGTGGAACTTCCTGTGGTTCAGTTTGTGCCCGTTGCCTCTTGTCCTGTTGCTGGGCACCACGGAGAAGAGGCTGGCCTCCTCCTCTTGACACTCCCCCTTCAGATACTTGTACACATTTATGAGATCGCCTCTCAGTCTTCTCTTCTCCAGGCTGAACAGGCCCAGCTCTTGCAGTCTTCTCCTACCCTTTTGCTTCATGCATTTCCCAGTCCCACCAAACCTTTTGTCTGAGACTTGCTTACCCTCCTGTGATGGATGCTGTGCTTCTTCCTCTTTCTTCATCGTGCCTGGAGATTCTGCTATAGAAAAGTTTTCGCAGTGCAGATTGACGTTGTCTTTTGCTTTTATTTCTGGTGCCAGCAATAACGACAGCTGACAGGAGCAGTTGTATGGAAACTGAGCGTGCAGCCTCCTCATTCCCTTCTGAAACTGTATATGTGAAGTCTAGTTGGGAAACAGGAATTTGTGAAAACATGGAAAATGTTCACTGAAAGCGGAATAGTCTGAAAACTTCTTCACTGACGTGAAGACATCTCTACTAAGCGTTTGTGAAACTGAGATTTTCCAAGGCCAGGCTTAGTCAAAAGTTAGCTTTTTCTCCCACAAGCAACAAAGGCTGGATCTGTGAACCCAGGGCGACTGAAAAATCAAAGTTGTAGGGCAAAAATATGGAGTTACTACAGCGTCCTTGAAATTTTTACAACTACTTTAATAGCAACAGAACCAGTATCATTTTAGCAATCTTTTTAGCAGAACTGGAAGCTCCTGAAAATGTAATGGGAAGTATGGGGCAGCCTTTACTCTAAGTGGCATGAGTAACATGACACGTGATCAAATGTCTACAGACAAAATTCGGTCTTTGGGAGTAGCTCTGCACACAGAACTACCATGCTATATGGACAAACCACTTTATCAAACCTTTTTCCTCTCAGAATCTCCTAACTACGGTCACATGTAGAGCTGAGCTGTTTCAAATCAAACTGGAAAATATATTTTTGGATATTTTTGAATTAAGCATTCCTAGGACTGAATATGTTTTCAGCCCCTTTTGACAGTGAAATGGGTAGACTGAGACAGCAGTGCAGAGGAAGAAGGATGGTCTTCTTGGAAAGAAAACAATTATTTTATGCTTCCCGAGTCAAAGCTGACATCTTGCACGCCACTTTGCCCTTCCTGTTCCTTCAAGTTCTTAATTTAGGACTTTTTTTTTCCTGCTGCGGTTCATTATTGCTACTTATTTGCATTGCAGTCTGTCAGTGGAGACCTTCCTTTTTGTTTAGAAAACATGTTAGCTACAGTACGAACTTAGAGCCTGATTTAGAGTTATATCTGGAAAGGCTGCAAAAACACCTCATACCCTGCTATTAGTGCTCAAGCTTAGGAATTGCATGTTATCAGAAAGAGGCTGCTTAAATGCTATATATTTTTTTTAATTTCTCTTGTCACCTTCAGGTTCAAGCTACTTAACCTCCCAAAATTTAAATACTCTTTTTCTTTTCAAATAGCCATTAAAATAAATGCAGACTTTTGATCTGGAACATTGCATTTCGCAAAAAGGTGTTACGTCAAGATTTTGCCCAGATTCACTCTTTTTAAAATAGACTTACCATTTCACTGCAACTGCTTATTCTGTTTTGCACTTCTCATCTGTAAGCAGAGAATAAATCTTTATAATCGGTAAAAGAATCAAAACCTACAACTAGAGGACAGGATCACAGTCAGGAGACTAATTTAGCTCAAAGACAGAATGACTCCACTTCTTTAATTACATTTTTTATGCTCTGATTTGGAATAGGATACCGTACCCATCCTTCTTGTATTTTGTGACAACGTGCTTTATAAAGGTGCCTTATGAAGGATTGTCCTTTTTCTCAGGTTCTCTTCTGTGCGTCTGATACACTACAGGATTTTGGACACAAGTGGAATGTCAGTGTCAGCAGTACATCACATAAATCTTTCCCGTGATTGTCCTAATAAATGGTCCACATAAAAATTGATCATTTGAGCTTTTCTTTCGTATATGCATTAGCAACCGAAGTCAAAAGGAAGTTGGGAGTTGTGGGATCCTGCTTTATTGTCAGAATACACAAGAACTTGCTTTCTTCAAAATTATTTTCTTATTCTACTCTTTTCAGTAACATGAAAAGACAGTTTTACTCTATTCTTGTTTCAATTTTAACGTTCTGCTGTATTTCGTTTTCCCTTCTAGGCAATGGCTTAAATCTGAAGACATTCAAAGAATATCACTTCTTTTCTATAATAAAACTCTGGAAAAAGAGGTAAGCTATTTTCAGCAGGGGTTCATGGTTGCTTCCTGCTCTGCCTCTTCCTAAGGGAGGCCTGTATCCCATGCATTTGTAAGATAGAGCCTTGGCCTCAGCACCTGTCCTGCAGTTCTTTTAAAGGTTACAATAATATTTTAGCTCATTTGTGAAAGAAATGCCAGGAGTATAACATTTGAGAAACCTTTCCTCTTTCCAAGGCAATTTTTAAAGTGCTCTGCAATTCACTTGAATTTCCTGAAATTTTCATAGTCTCGCAGAATTGGAGGCAGGTGTGATGGTCATATGTGGTGTAACAGGAGCAATGGATTCCAGAGATACTCAAGTCCATCACCTACATCCTCAAAGGGCATTTATTAAAGTCCATTGTTTCTGCTTCTTTTTTTTTTTTTCTTTTCTTTTGGCATATCTCAAAGACTCCACCTGTAGTAATGATAGTCTTGTCATGATTTCAGTTGCTCGTTAGTTTTCTCCGTAGGAGCTTGACACTCACAATCGTTCCAAGGACACAGTACTGTAAATGTTGTTTAAAAAAATGCCTAGCTGCCTTGGATGCAACGCACTAAGACTCCTTATGACAAATATTTTTTGATAAAACATGTTTGATACAGGTATGTGCAGACAGAGTAACTGATAGTGTTTGCAGTACTTGGAATAATGATCAGAATGAAAGATTCTTACTTTTTTAGATGGCTGTCATGACCACTAGCCTAAGAAGTTAGGCCTTTTTATTGTTCTATATGGCCTTGTGGATCTTGAGTGTGTTTTCAGGACTAGAGGTGCCTTCCTGTAGTTCAAACAGACTAGGCCTCAGAAAGAAGGGAAATGCAGGATTTGCTCTTATCTTCTGCTTTTGCTATTGGCTGATGGACTCTAGTTTGCTGGAACACTGCTTCTAGTGTTGTGTGTGCGGTTGATCCCTCTATGACCTGAGAACAATGTTTTCTGGGGAAATGAACTGTTCTTTGCTTTTGCGCAGGGACAGAGCCAATATCCGGATCCCCACTGCTAATGGAAGTGATCCTAGGCCACCTGATGCAGAGGGTGAACCCTCTCTAAAGTAGTCTGGCTGGGTTGACACTATGTGCAGCACAGGTTTAAGTATCCTCTAGGGCCCATGTGGTGCTCCAAGACATAATTAAGAATTTCTACAGGTGTCTTGCAGTTCAAAGGATCTGAAATCACCTCTCACAGCTCAGCTGAATGGTGTTGTTGAAGGAGACGGCCAAAGAAAGGTGTCCAGGTACACCCCTGAAGTGTTGAGGCTTGCTGAAACTGTGTGGAGATGGCGTAAGAGAGAAGAAATTAGACCCGGCGTGGATCCATAGTGTTTAGGGAGTGCACTGCCTGGAGCGAATGGACCCCAGGAGCACATTCAGATTTTAGTTTGAAGGGTACTAGTTGATGAACTGTAAAAGAGAACTTGAGAGCAATCCATTGTATGTGCACTTCGGACAGTCAGGGAATGAGGGCTTGGAGAGAAAATCAGGGAGCTAAGTTATTTGGTGAGTAGATGTGCCCTGTAGGAGTCTGGTCTCTTTTAGACGGTAGCATGCTTGCATGGCAAAGAATTAATTGTTCTTTTCAGATCTGGCTTTTTAATGCCTTTCTTCACTTCCTTTCAATGACTCACCAGTCTAGGCTTGACTTAAAAGAACTCAGTGGGAAGCTTGACTTTCATTTAAACAGGAGCTTTTCAGGCCCTGCAGGACCTGAAAGTAAAGCAAGGTAATAAAGTAGAATAATTATTTAACTTAAGGAATGAGTTGCATGACTTTATTGGGAGATGTCTAGAGAAGCCTGGAACATGGAAATGAGTTCACAAGTTGGTCAGAATTTTTTGAGATTTTGACAGCAAGTGAAGGTCCAGAATTGTTGAACGAGACCATTAAGGTACAACACACTTACTCAACAGTTGGAACAAAAAAAAACTTGCTGCAAACATACTCATCCAGCACAGTCCTGCGTGTGCCGTGGAATTCATGTAGGTATGTGACAAGAATTGCTTTTGATTTGTCACAGAAGTGAAAAAAAAAGGCTATTGGATGCTAAGCTCTATTCAGCCACGTCCATGGCGAGTTTTGTGCACCAGTTTCAAGGGCAGAACTTGGCACTGAGCACAAAGGCACAGCTGTGTGCTTGCCGTTAGAAAGCACAGCTCATGCACTTCCCATTTATGAGGTTTGCGTATTAAGCACTTCGTGAAAATATTATTCGCTACTTTTTTTTTTTAACAATCAGCTCTTAAACTCTTGTGAAAAAAATTCAATCCTTAGGTCATTTCCTTTTGAGTACTTGACCGGTTTCAATCTGGACCTATTTGTCTCAAATAACAGAGCAGTTCTTCTAGTAAATACTTCATTATTCAATTCTTATCTTTCTAGATAGGCTAATTAGTGATTTATACGTAGAATTTTTGTCATGACAGAACTGGGCAAATTGACTCTCTCCTAAGAATATCAAGTGTCTAGTAGTATCAGTGGACATATAAGGACTTTTAAAACAGGCATAAAATGTTTTAATTAAAATAATAATATAACCTCAATTAATATAGGTATTATTGCTAGCTATCCTGATGGAAATGTAATGTGTGTACACACCTGCAGCATAGTATACATGTAGTTGCTTCATGTGCTTGGAAGTTTCTTGTCTAGATGACTGTTATAGTTTCTCATAACTGTTCCAGCCCAACCGTTTCAGCTGAAAATTAAATTTGAGGAATTAATGACTTAGAGACTTGGAGTCAGCCAAGGATTGTCAGCCATTCTTAATAATGGAAAAAAAATTATTTGCTTTCACTATTTTTTTAATTAAACCTCTTATGATGAATCTGGGATAATCCTGTAGCAGATGCAACACATAACTATTTCACCTGGCCATGTAAGCTGTTCTTCAAGGAGTAAAAGGATTCAGTACTATGCCGGATCATCTCTGGCCCTGCGTGGGTTGGTAGAAAAGTTACTGAACATCAGGAAATTCACTGTTGCTAAGGATTGCCCATACAGATCTGCTTTTTTAAGGTGGGATTTCAGTTAAGTGATGTTTTATCTGTTTCGGAAACCGTATTTTTAACACATGCTCTTTCTTTTTCTAGTATCGAGCAACTACTCTGCCTGCATTTAAGTATTATGTGACTTGTGCCTGTCTCATATTCTTCTGCATTTTTGTTGTGCAGATTCTGGTATTGCCAAAGTAAGTGGTGTTTAATGGTCCTAATAGTTACTCATTCCTGAGTATATTTGTTCATTAATGTAAAAAATAATAATGCCTAAGTTAAAAATTTAGGAATGTCAGATTACAAATGGAAATGGAACTGAACAGATCAGGATGAGAATTTCAGCTCGTTTTCAAAGTTATGCTTGTTTCTAGTTGTAAATGTTATCATAGCTTGACGTCCAAGCGCTAATATCAATTCTTGATTGCTTTTAGTTTTTCTCTTTGCATTTAAAAACAGGAATGAAATTCGTATGTGTAGAAAAAGTAAGACTTTCTACAAGTTTCTGTGTCTGAGATTACACAAAATAAGGGGACAATTGGATGTAAAAGTGGGACAGAATGGATTGCAGAATTGGGACTGTGATTAATGAAATGCATTTAACATACATTATTGTGCTAGCACTGTTCTGTCCTGCACAGCATTACTATATATACAGTAAAATCTATCTTTTAAAAATTAATTTTAAAAGACACAGTCAATATACTGGAATAATTGCTGCGGTCAGAATTTATGTATGTGAGATTGTAGGAAAAATTGTAAGCTGATTTTTATTTGTGTGTACAAATTAGCTATTCTTTCCAGCTGTGCATATCCTAGAGAGGCCAAAATAATTGCAGGATAGTTTGGGATCGATTTTAACAAGAAGAAAATAAACAGTATTTTATTAGCCTTCTTCAAATTGAATGTGGATGTTGAGTATTTATCTAGTGGAAAATTGATATTTGGTTCATAATAATTGTTTCCAAAGCCAACATTGTGTATTTTCTGTGATTATAATGTTTCTATAGTCATAGTCTTTTTTCCTGTGCAGTGCTTTTGGGAGTAGTATCTATAGCCTCAGATGATTGATTGGTCTTGAGTTGTAGTACTGACTCCACCTTGAATTGAAGGCCAGAAGGAACTGTTAGTTCGTTATAAATTGACTTCATGTATTGCAGACATGTTTTGTAACATGTATGAAGTGTCACTACGGACTTCTAGTCAGATAGTGAAGCGTCTCCTTCACAGCTAGTTGCCAAGGCTGAGACACAGTCCACAAGGGGACACACTTACATGAGTTCAGGAGGATCGTTCCCGCGGTCGAGTCCGACTTTAGGAGTTGCCATTGCAAAATAAGAATTTAAAGCTGGTAACGGATTTGATTCATCATTTTGCATGGTGAATATACTATTTTATAAATTCATACCGTATTTGGATTTGTACAGGAAATAATTTGAGGAAATTCTTGGTTCGTGGTGTACCAAAAACCAAACTTGGTTCTGATAAGTCCTTTCCAGCCCTATGGTTTGTGACTCTGCTTTTATTCACTCTATAAATGACATAATAATTTCTCACTTTCTCACATTTTTAGGCTAATTTCATAGCCTTATTTCATAGCCTTATTTTGTTTATTCATATAAGTAGGAAGATGCTCGTTCTGCTATATCCTTATTATAACCCTTAAATAAAAGGTGTAGTTCAATACAGTATATCAGGTACTTGCAATTAATGAACTGTAAGGAACTATACTCACCTCTGGAAAATGTTCTCCAACCTGCAAAGGTTCCATGAGCTTCTCTTGCAAACATCAGAACAAAACATACTTATGATTTCTTATTTTCATTACCAAAATTGAAAGTCTGGTCCGTTTAGAGGGCTGCATATTAAATCACAAAAGCAAGCGTATAGAATCATGTATTAGCTACATGAGTGGTTTTCAGCTTCGATGGATCTGTGAATTGAGAGATCCAAAAATGAAAGGAGGAAAAGCAAGGAGTCTGCATCTCCACAGGAAAAATATTGGGGGTCCACAAATCTGAAAAGAGTTCAGAATCACTGCTCTGTGTAAATGCTTTCCGTAGAAAGTAAAATTATCTTCAATATATAATGTTTGTACATGTGTTGCTTTTTGGAGTGTACTTATTCATCGTCTTTTAGAAAGCATACCATACTGTAACAAAAATACTGTATAAACTCATTGGAGTTTTTCCTGCATTCAACCTGTAAAAGAAGATTTTATTTTAAATATTTTTTATTTTTTGATATTTTTAATCTATTTTTTATTTTATTTTACTTACATTATTGCACACTTATAAATCAAGGTGGCATATGGCTATCTACTTGTCTGTAATTAAGAAGTAATATTAATGGCAAAGGAAAAGGCTAGGCTGTTAGCAGCTCTTGTTGGCAATTAATTTCAGTTTTGCACCCGCAAAAAAAAGTGGCATGTAGTCATTGCAAATATAACTTAAAGTGAGTGCATTCTAGTGCTACAAATGTTATTTCTTGGTAGCAAAAACCAAAACCACCATAGTTTAAGAGACTGTCTAACCTTTTTCTTTTTGTCTAAAAATTGTACAGGAGTTTAAAATGATGAGGTAATGAGGGTACAGAAAAACTACATCTGTCATTGGTTTTATTGATTCAATATTCCATTAATCTGGTTTTGCAGCAGTACAATATCATTGCTTTCTCTGCAGTTGCACCACCTGCTGCTTTAAAGTAAATTTGGGAATATTGGCTCAGTAGTATCCAGCAGGTTGCAAGTATATAAGGAATATTTCCAAGAATGTGAGACACATATTTCAAGGATGAAATCATCTATTAAGGGTTTATTTTTCCTGGGATAGATAAACTGATGTGATGTGTTCACAATAAACAAACTTCTTCCACAAAGGAGTAAATATAAATTTAATCAAGTAAACAATAGCTTGGGGTGAAAGATGTCGTGAGGAGTAGGTCCATATCATGACCTTAAAATGCCAGGAAATCTCGACCACTACATTTCCTCAGAACAGGCTTTCAGTGGCTTCTTGGCCTTATTGGCTTACTAGAAATACCTCTGGTAATTCCCAGCAATCCCATCTTTTATTTAATTTGATTAAAATGAACTTGATACTGTTTTTTGAAGTGCACGCTGCTAAATTGCTGAGAATATGTTCATAGTGCCCGGGAGATACTGTTTGGGCTGCCTGAGTAAGGAGTCGGTCGGGGCTGCATTTATGATTCTTCCCCAGGCTTTGCTCGCTGAGGCTGCTGCGCTGAAGAAGTTGCATCCTTTTGTCCTAAGTCATGCCAGCTGGCGCTACCTAGGGAAGATGTTTAGGAGGCAGTAACATACCATGTCTAGTCAGGCACAGTTGAATTTCTTGATGGGAGAGGCGGTATCTAGGATCTTTGCCTGAAAGCAGACGTGTAAAACATGAGAAATAAGCACAGAAAATCGCCCTTCCTAGCTATTTTTCTGCTGCATCCCATTAATAAAAAAGAAGTGGAGTTATAATGCTCACATGCTTTTTCTCAGCAATGAAGCTGCCGTGCAGTTAGTCAACATCCTCATCGAACCCACTGGGGGCTTAGGGAAAGTATCATCCAGATCAAGAAAGGAATAGCTACTGTTAAATACCAAAAAAGTCTAGATTCAGTATTGTCATGTATATGTATATATATATGTATAGATAGATAGATAGATAGATTTTTACTTCAAGAGAATTTGCAATCAAACTGTTAAAAACGTGGATATTAATTTCCTACAAAGAAACAGAAATATGCTATGTCCTCTTAAGGGAAGAGAGTCATAAGTCACTTAGCTTCCTAAAAGTGTCATGAGTCTAGAAAGAATATCTTCTGTTTTACCATCTTTCATTATCTTTATCTTGACAGGGAATCCTTGTTTTTGCAGTAGAAAAGTTACCAACAAGAGCTTGGTATGTGTAAATACAATTTTTTCCCACTCTCATACTGCCTCCGAAAAATTAAGTGTTGAAGATAGAATTTTCCTGATGAAAGCAGAGAAAAATGAGGAGATCCAAGATCGTAAATTAGACTTGCAGCTCTCTGAAAACCTGGTGATTTCATATATGGCTTCCTCAATTTTAAGCTCAGTCCTTCTGTAGGTGATTGCTAAGGCTTGCCCTGTACGGCTCCTGAGTCGGGCACAGAAGAGATCTCGTTTTCCGAAATGAGGGCGATCCCTGACGCACAGGAAGAGGCAGATTTAAAAAAAAAAAAAAAATAGTTAGCTGACTTACAGGATGCTAAGTGCTCTTTTGACAAAACGGTTTCACTGAACTCGTCAAAACGTGTCTTATGAAGGCAATGCATCGGGTGACTCCGTGCGATGAAGGCCGGATCAGTTTACTGGAAGGAGCTGTGCCATTACTGAGCGTGCACGGTCTGCCGGTGACAAACGCAAAGGCGTGTTATGGCTTTCCTGTGGTCGTTGCCTCCAGCGAGGCTTACTTATGCTGGCAGTTAATTTGCAATGTTTTGCTTCCCATTTTGGCTCCTTCCTCCCAGTTCTTTCCTTCTAGGAGCAGCATGAAACTATGTCAACTTAACGTAACTGAAACCGAAGTCCTGTTCTCTCCCCAGAGAAGAAGCGGGGTCGGGGGGGAGGAGAGTGAAAAGCTTACTTTTTTTCTTTTTTCCTGTAATCACCACTCAACCCTGTATGCTAAGATACCCTTTCACCTTTTCCTTACACTCAATCCTTTTCTCTTTGTCCACATATTCAAAATCTTGCTGTTCACTTTTAGTTTGTTTTTTTTTTTTCTGCCACCCTGATGCCATCACTGATCTGTGGCAATCCATATAAAACACAGCAACAAAGATCTTCTTTCTGCCTGTTGCTTAGCCTGCACCACCATATCCTCTTTGTACAAGCTCTCTTTACTCACTGCTTTCACTTTATTTCTCTTACTTTCCAGTTTCTCTCACAAAGATCTTCCTGTCTCCTTGCACAAAGATGCTCTCCAAACTTGACCCAAAAGGCCATTCTTGTGTTGAAACATTTCTTGTGTTGGGCACGTTTCTTTTGTGTACCTAATCTCTCAGCGACAGCATAACAATAATATGAAATGCAGGAATGGTTTTATATATATTTTTATATATATGTGTGTGTGTGTGTGTGTGTATATGAATGTGTGTGTACATATATATGTATTTTGTGTGTGTGTGTGTGTGTGTGTCTGAATATATATATGTGAGAAGATATATGAAAAAATATAGATATATTCAACAGCAATAACAATTTTCAAGTAACTTGCAGAGGAAGCGCTGTTTCAAGATGAATACATGCTGGGAATTGCCAGGTGTTTGTTTTTCACCCACAATTGAAGGTTCTCTGGATGATTGGCAGGGAAGCTCATAAATTGCTCTCCAAAATGCTTTTAATGGCAGCAGTATGCATCAAATTGGTTTATGCAGTTAATGCTTTTTTGTTCTTTCCTGAAAATCGCTTCTGTAACACTGTTGTTAAAACAGATCACAATATTTTCCAATGTTTGTGCGTAATCTAAGGAAAGGGATCCAAGTTCTGCTCCTAAATCTTTAGTACTATAATTTCTAAAACATGTATATTTAAATTCAAATGGAATTCAAATAGAGCAGACATATGCTCTTATTAAAAGTATATTTTAATTCTGATTCATATGTTCATGGAGGAGCTAACTTAAAATGTAACATTTATTACGGCTCTGTGGAAAAACCAAAGGCTATAAAGCCTATTTCAAAAAACGCATGCCCGTATCTCCAGCAGATCATGTTTGCAAAAGTAAGCTATTTGCTGCTGCTCAAAGGAGTTGAGAGAGACTTTCCAGTTCTGCAGTTATGTTGAATCTGTGGTTAAAACAGAAAGCAGATGCTCAGGTGAGGGACTTGATGACTGCCTCTGGTTCCCTTGCTTGAACAGCACAGCTGATGCAGAGCTTCTGATCCCCTCTTGGCATGCATTAAACAGCATTAGGTGTCCCTGCCTTTCTTCCTAGGCGGTCATGCCACGGAGCTCGGATATAGTGTGTCATGGAGCAGTTATGATCTACTGTGGTATTCACACAGAGAGATTTCCACTGTATGTAGAGAATTAATGCACTGCTAGGTTGTTTCTGCATCCCTATCTCTGCTTACTGAGCATCCAGAGAGGCCGTTTTGGCTAGATTTTCCTATTTATAGTATACAGGAAAAGGTTCGGTTAGAACGCTGGGTGAGGGTGATTTCAGGAAGACTATAGCTTACTCTTAACTATTTTTTCTCATTTAAACTTTTATTGGTGGTGGTGGTTTATATTCTTCATGATGTTTGGTCTTCTTTCCTATCATACTTCCTGTACCCTGATACGTCAGAGTCTACGGGCCAGCCAGCCTAGTTTTATACAAAATGAGATCTCCAAGGTGATGAATCTCTACCCGTTCATGAAATAGCAGTCCCTAAATTTGGATCCTTGCTGGAGGAGACACTGCAGCATCGCAGACGTCCCAGGTTCCAGATGTGAGACAAACAACGGGACATCGTTGTCCCAGTGCTATTACTTTTCCAGCCTTTGGGGGCAATGCACACTGCTACAACAAGTGAATGCTGGAAATCTAGTAGATGCTTTAGGTTATTACAAAATCAACAGCAAAAGGGTAGCAATAAGATTCTTCTTCAATACAGGCTTTCTGAAGTCAAGAACTTATTACTGCTCTTAATGCGTTCTGCCTTTTAAATGATTTGTGTGGAAATGAATAGCTGTCCATAGTAATAGTTTTGCAAAATGAGAGATAAAGCCAATTCAAGCATTCCTGAGATTAAAATATTTTTATATGTGTGTATATATATGTAAGTATGTGTGTGCTCTATTTCTATATGCATGGGATTAGAAAATCAAAAAATGGCAGGGAAAAGGCCTGTCGGGTAAGAATTGGGTTTGTTTTCCCGTGGTTTTGGTATTTGTAAATTGTAGCTTTCACATGGTAATGTTTCATAACATTATCAATCTTATGCACGTTTGTAGCAAGACTTTTTTTTAATGTAACTTACAAATCAATACGTGTTTTCTTATTTCTTGTAGAACATCAATTCTTGGAGTTTCATTTGGGGCTGCGTTCCTCTTGCTTTCCTTCATCCTTTTTATCTGCTTTGCTGGACAGCTTTTGGTAGGTATTCAGATAAGCCGCAATCTGGTAGTTTACATTATTGTTTAACTAATTATCTTTTCTAAATTTTTTGCTGTTGAGCTTACAGGAGGTAGTCCATCTTGTAAAAGCTTTAATTTTATGTGCATTGCTTTATTTTTACTGTATATTTGGATTTGTTAAAGTGTAAGACTATTTTCTGAGATTAAAGACTATTTCAAAATTACAAATTTAATTTTATTTAAGTTTTATAGTAAAATACTAATGCCAATGAGTGATTCAGGTGTTATTATAGTGCCTACTTTCATACCTAATAATATGCTGAATTTGCAAATTTCTTTTAGTTCAAGATTTGGGCAAACCGTTCAGCATTTCACAATAGAAGTGGCAAGTATTAATCAAATTCTTTTGGTTATTCTCAAACAGATACAAAGTATAACTTCATCTAGACCAAGACATTTCAGGGTTTATGAGAAAATAAATGAAATGTGAATCTGGAATAAATCGGTTCGTACACGTCTCTATAGAATGTGGCCTAAGTATGCACTGCTTACTTAATTTTTTTGTTAGCAAGGTCAGTTTATCCTTTCCCCAAAACTGTTCTTATTGCGTCATGTAAGTGAACCACATCGCAACAAAAATCCTTATTTCTGTTTGTTTACCAGTGATTTCTTATATTTTGAAACCGAGAGCTGAATTATTTCCACAAGCCTCAGACATCTGAGTCAAAGTGAAAGGACAGTGTGTGTTTTCTGTCCAGCTATAGACTCCAGCAGAAGAGCAGTTTTTCTCGGAAGGATGGAGAAAATGGTTGCAGCCTGTGCACTAGGGAAAAATGAACAGATAGCTTGTACCAGAGGAGCCACCTGTCTGTACTCAGGTGATGAGCAGATGACGAGGTCCTGAGCTGGAGTACCAAGGAGTGCTATAAAGGTGAATTTAGGACGAAGTAGGGCAGTGAGTAACAGAGAAAAGATGGTGCCAGATGATCTTGTAAAGTGACTGTCTTAAGTACACAACAAATTTGAAGGAGAAAAAAAAAATCCTCTTGTGCCATTGGTTCTGTGATTGCTATCCCTGTTACCACAGTGGAAGTGAGAGGAAAGATTCAACTCTCCACCCTCCAGTTAATTAAAAGGGATATGTTCTGCTGAAGTGTCTAAAGGCTTTGGTATGCTTAATCCCCAGTTCTCCTCTATCTCCACATTTTTCCACAAGCTCCCATGGAGGAAGCTGATGGAGAAAAGCCTTTATACACAAACAAAACCTACATGCCTGTGGGAAAGACTCTCACTCTGCAGTACCACATGAGGCTGCTAATTAAATAAGACAAGTTTCAAAGAAAATTTAATTAATCTACATTTCAGTTATGTTTCGTGTAAGGTAGGGATAGCGCCACCACTCAGGAATTTATCTGAGGTACAACGCAAAAATATTTTTAGACGTTTTGAAATCCTTGGAGTGAGGTCCTAGAGACATTGTTATTACTTAATAGCAGAAGTTAGTTCTCGCATAATATCACAGTTGATTACTATTTGGCATTGACGTAAGAGGAAAATGATGGAGTATTGCTGTTGAATAATGACATGAAAAAAGTCCTTCAAGGGAAAGCAGAAAAGTTATTAGGAAGAAAGGTGCTGCTGAACTGGTATCAAGGAATATTGGCACATAGGCTCCCCTGGAGCTTTGATTTATGGAGTAGCTCAGGAGGAATACAAATGTGCTTTTCTGCTTTTAAAGGGATGGCCAGGCAAATATCCCAAGTCAGTGTTCAGAAGTAGTACCACTGAGTAATACCTAACACCTCAAGTAAATGCTGTTTTTCCCTATGTCTCATATATACTGGAAATAGTTCCCAAAAATGAGGACCTATTATTGCATCTGTGCTGACTTGTGAGATATCACGCTGTGACCTTAGTAGCTTGAAGGGGAGTTAATTACCTCTATGTCTCTTTGGGTTCAGCTACTCTAATGCCTAAGCTGTACTGGTGAGAAGCCTTTCAGCAAGTAAGTTATGGCCATAGTTGAAGTGACATCGATTTTGCTTCTCTGCAGACATAGTTCTGGAAGGCAGTGGGTGAGAGGCAGCTGACAAAGAGGGAGCAGGTTTATTTTTCCCCCTGTGCTCTCCCTAACACCTCTTCTTGCACTGCAAAATCTGGGCCTTGTTTTGCACCATGTCCATAGGCGACACTCTCTCGGTATCTGAGCCCTCGGCTGTGAATGCTTTCCTTCTGGAAGAAAAAGCCTGAAATTCTCAAGGCAGTGAGTACCAATATTTGGGCTTTTGCACCCTGTGTCAGTGTTTAGAGAAGTCAAGCTTTCTCATCCTAATCCTTCCCCCCGGCCAGTGTGGTTTCTTCCCTCTTCTTTTTCTGAAGAAGTACATTTTGGATTCCCTTGCAGAATGCAGGTGGTAAACGTGTACGTGCTTCTGTGCACACGCAGCTGCATGCACACTTACAGAGCTTAAAAATTGCCATATAAATCTGTCTTTAAAAAAATACAAAAAGAATAGGGCTTTTTTGCCCTGGCTGATCCTGTCAAATGAACTTGCAGTGGAAGTCAAATATTTACATGAATGTTATAAGGTTTATAGTGCGGGATTTGCAGTGTTGGCAAAAACAACAAAATTCAGGTTCAAGCTAGGACATCTGGCAGTTGCTACATTGTGCACTTGTTTCAATACTTTGGCACTTTGCCCTCTCAGTCTCCACCAATTATAAATGACTGTCATCATTAGTCATCAAGAGTAAGGCATAAAAAAATCCAGCTTTGAATAAGCTTGTCTGTTTCATTTTCATTGGATTGGTAAGCATAAATGGCAAAAACAACAGCAACAAAATCCTGGTCGTAATGCTAAGATTGCTGTCTCTTCCTGAATCTAACTACATTATTGTAAGAAGAGATTTATACTCATTTTTTTCACTTTGAGTTTATTGTTAGTTGATTTTACTGTTTAGGAGCACAGCAGCACAGTCCAGCTCAATCTTTTGCAGAATGATAAGACTGTTGATTAAATGGGAATAAAAATGCGTCCATCAAACGGTGGTACAGCGGTAGCACAAATAACAAGGCTAAGGACTTTCTAGATTGTATTTCTAGTGCATATAATGCAGTATCTGGTCTTGGGCAACCAGAACAGAGGAAGGTTTAAGAATTCTCCTAGAAGCAGTTGTTTGTCCATGGGGACTAATTGTTCATAAATCCTGGTTATAATTGGTATGTGTCCTGAAACATGAAATGGCTGAGAAGGAAGGACAGGATGCTATTTGCTGCAATCCACTGTGGTTCCAGGATAATTTGATTCCAGGACTAGATGGCCCCGTTGCATCTTTCCTGGCAATGAGGTTTGCACCTGCTGCCAGTCCTCAGTGCACATAGCACGCGTGTAGAGAGCTTGCTGCTGGAGGGCCTCGTTCCATGCTGAAAGTGAGGTGCTGTAGCTGACACCGTGGTACATGACCCCCTGCTCAGATCCACGAGGCAGGAACCTGCTTTGAGCACCAGCAGTGTCCTTCAGTGCCCACTGCGAGGCTCCCAGAGGGATACAAGATGACCTCACACCAAAGGACAACCTCTCCTGCACACACGATCACTGATGTAGAGGCACCCTGTGCCGTCAGGAGCATAGGTGCTGGGGAGCCAAGGGGGGGGAGCCATTTCTGAGCCTTGTCGTACAAACACTCCTGGGCTCCAGGCACTGTCCCAAATAATATTTCTACTTCCTCCAGCTCGGTGCCCTGACACTATACCTGAAAAGTGGGCCCTTTAAATATTTCACGTGGAGTAGAGAAATTTTGACAGGAGAGACTGAGAATGTCTTATCTTAAAACAGCATATAACACAGTGACTCTGCATTTTCTTGAAGGAGGAAAGTGGCGCTGGAGGGACCAGGGCTGAGCTCTGAGTGCCTAAAGGCATATTTATACGGCTCAGCACAATGTTCTTTCCTTTGAATGAGATGGTTGAAGAGAGGAACATAGCCATTTTAGTGTGACCCTTTGTGAAGGGCAACAAACACGGCCACGTGTGGTGAAATCTAATATTTGACACCAACTTCAGTTTTTCCTGTTCTTAACCCTTTCTTCAGGATTCTGGCTTTAGTCAGACCAGTTGTATCCAGTATAAAGTTGAACGGACTCTCACCTGGAAGCATTTTGTAGGGGTTCAAAATACCTGGCTTAGATTTACAGGTTCCACCATGGAATTCAAAAATGTGGTGTTACCATACTCATTTTAAAAGTGCTTCAGGCCCTTAGTCAAGAATAGTACTTAATAGTGTTTAAAGGAACTTAAAGTATAAACTTGTGTCTCTCTACAAAAATTACCCTTCCCCAAGCTTAGATCAGTGCATTTGTAAGTCAGCCAGATCTTTGGGGATTTGAACTTTGGTCTCTTCTTCAAGACTGAATGAAAATGGGTACCTGAGTAAACCTGGATTTTTGAGCTTTCTGCTTCTCTTGATTTCATTCTCTGTAACATAACTGCTAGTAAAATACTAAGTTGTATTTGAATGCAAAATGAAAAGAGCGATACTAGAAGTAGAGAAAATGTGATTCACTGGCTTTCCATAAATAAGAGGTCTCCAGTCAAGATGTTCCAACCTCTGCTAGCATGTGAAGGAGATGTGTGACAGCTCTTGCGACAGTCTTTCACCTACAATGTACCTGCCACAATTAATCCTCACACCAATTCCTTGCTCTCACTCAGAAAGACAGCATTCATTTTATTAAATGCTGAATTAGGTTTCGTGTGTGGAAAGACAACACAGGATACATTTTAATAACCTGGATATTCACAATAAGTTATTACTCACTATCATGCTGAACTGTCATATCAGATTTAACATGCTCAGATGCAAAGGTAATACATTAGTCACCTTTATTACTGCAAATACCTATTATTTCCAGTTGGTAAATGATAAACACTGAACCATATTCTGCCAGCTCCACTTAGAATAAACACAGCAGCTAATGCTACTGACAGCTGATGTTTTACCCTGCTTGCATGCCTTCCAGAAATTATTACTTTCTTCCTTCCGTCTTATTATCTGTTTTCTCAGGAAAAATACAAATGAAACATAACGTTTGCAAAAAGTGTGTCAAGTAAGATAATGAATCGATTAAATAAACGTGCTTGTTCAGCATCTGAGTTTAGTGATCCCCTGACCACTCCAGTTCCGCTTCCAGCAGGTCCCGAAGGGCTCAGCCGTACTCCATCGTGGCAGTGGCACACCATATAAACCGAATTTAAACTGCTCGAATTACAAGTGAAATGAAGTTCAGCAGATCTGTTAATTCCTGTGCAGAAGTACTGTGCAGCAGTTGTATCCTTCCCCATTTTGCAAGGGATTTCTGCTGAATGGTTTAAGAATTTTTAGTGTGAACCAGAATTTTGTCACAAATTTTCCTTTCGGTGCCTGAGTGCTTTCACCCGCGTAGGTTGCTAGAGAGACCCGCTATATATTTAACAAGTCGGGTGGACAGGACGGATGTACCAAATAACCAGTTGTCCTTCCCCTCTGGAAGTCAGAGCCCGATATTAAACAGCTTGTCAAGAAATGTACCACCAAGTTCTTTTGGTTACTTCTGTCTTACAAGTGGAAATAGCCACCTACACCTTCAGGTTTCAAGCGACAGTCTAACAGCACTCACTTTTTTGCTTCATGCCAAAGGCAGCAATCTCTGTATTTTCCCCGGTAAAAGCTGCAAGAATGTAATCTCATGCTTGGTTTATCATACCGGCAGAATGATATGTCATTTCCTGAAATTCAGTTTATTCTCCAAAACTTTTCTTAGTGACAGACCTACCCAATGTAAATAAAAATCTTATTTAAAATGGAAGTAGAAAACTAACTTTTAAAGAAAGGTAGAAAATCAGTTCAATTAATTCTACCTTGCTAAAATACATCAGCAAAGTCAGGCAATATTGATCAGCAACCTTGTAAAAGGGAAATTTAGCATTACTGCATGAATTTTTTGTACGGAAGTTGTATAGGCCTGTTTAAAAGTGTACAGATATGCGGCAAGCAATAAAAGTGCTCGGCAATAAATATTCTTCTCAGCATGGGCATTAAAAAGTAATCTCAACAATTGTATACAGTTGATCTTTTTAATGATTGCTTTTTAGAAAATGAAAAAAGATAAAATTTAACAATTAGAAGCACTAATGTTAAAATAGAAAAGTCTGAGAAATCTCCATCATTTGGCATATTCCGAGGAAAGAAGAAATTTATTTTGAAAATACAGTCTATTTCTGGCACAAATTTTTGTTTTCAGAGGAAGAATTACAGGATGAAGTTCTGTCATTTAAAGCATATGAGACATCAGATTAGATTATTACAGACCTGCCTGAGAATTCGTGTATTTGGATGTTAGGATTCAACATAGATTTTCTATGTAAAACTGTATTTTATCTTTAGAATAAGGCATAATACAAATTGTTCATTTGTGCAGAGGAAGACATCAATTTGTGTTGTTTAAGCGCTAGAAAACCAGAAAAGAATCTCTTTTTGTGACATTGTTTTTCATCTGTTACTGAACCAGGTTTTTTAATAGTCTAAAACTGAAAATAGCAACTACGGGAGATTGTTGAATCTGGTGGACTCTTAAGACCTATAGTGATTTTGCCAGCTCCAGTCCCATAGACAGGTGGCTGCTGCACTTTATGTCGCCAGGTCCAACTTACTTTCCAGATGCTGGTCTCCTACTCACTAGCCAGTCCAGCTTGCTGTTTCCTAATGGTTACACGCACACACTCTACAAGTCTCCCCAGAAATGGGTCTCAGACACTCCAGTTGCTGCACCCAGACCTTCAGTTGCCTCAGACATGCAACCTGTCTCTCTCTCCAGGGGCTGGCACCCGTCTTGTCCTACTTGCTGACTAGCCTGATGTGAAGTTTACTAGTGCTTAGATGCACACTGGCTCAGAAGAAGTAATGTAGTTACACAGATGAATTGAAGGAGGATTTTATCAGAATACGGCATGGGCTCATTCAGACAAGCATACTGACTAGGCCATGTTTGCATGCAGTCATTCCCTTTTATCTCCACTCTTCTCAGTTTTCCTACACCTGCTCCTCCCTGATCCACCTTTATCCCTCT